TGATATCACCCTTTAGGTCTAAATCATTTATCAATTTTGACCTTATTTTTGGTTTGTTTGTTTGTTTTTTTTGTGTTTGTTTTTTGTATTTTTGGCTAGGCAATGGGGTTAAGTGACTTGCCTTGGGTCACACAGCTAGTAAGTGTTATGTGTCTTGAGGCCAGAATTGAACTCAGGTCCTCCTGTGTCCAGGGCCAGTGCTCTATCCACTGTGCCACCTAGCTGCCCCTGACCTTATTTTTGTATAGGGTGTGAGACGTTGGCTTATTCCTAGTTTCTACCAAACTGCTGTCCAGTTTTCTCAGCAGCTTTTGTCAAGTGGTAAATTCTTGCCTCAAAAGCTTATTATGGTTACTTACTCTTGTGTATTAATGTACTTAATCTATTCTACTGATTCACTATTCTGTTTCTTATCCAGTAACAGATTGTTTTCATGATTAATGCTTTGTAATAGATTTTGAAATCTGGTACTTTTTTTGTTGTTGTTGTTGTTATTATTATTATTGACATGGTCAGTTAGGCTTTTAGTTTCCCTAATATTGAACTAGCACTGCATTCTTGGTATAAACCCAGCCCAATGACAGTATATGATCATTGTGATATATTGCTGTAGTCTCCTTGGCAGCATTTTATTTTAATTTTTTGCATAAATATTCATTAGGTAAATTGGCCTATAGTTTTCTTTCTCTGTTTTTGCTCTCCCTGATTTAGATATCAAGACCATATCTGTGTCATAGAAGGAATTTGGTAGGACTTCTTCTTTATCCATTTTTCCAAATAGTTTATGAAGCATTGAGATTAATTCTTCCTTAAATGTTTGGTAGAATTCACTTATAAATCCATCTGGTCCTGGAAATTTTTTCTTAGGGAGGTCCTTTATGGCTTGTTCAATTACTTTCTCTAAAATAAGGTTATTTCAGTATTATATTTCCTCTTCTGTTAATCTGGGCAATTTACATTTTTGTAAATATTCATCCGTTTCACTTAGAGTCTCAGTTTTACTGGAATATATTGGACAAAATAACTCCTAGTAATTACTTTAAATTCATCTTCATTGATAGTGCATTTACCCTTTTCATTTTTAGACTGATAATTTGTTTTTCTTTTTTAATCAAATTAACCAGTGATTTATTAATTTTATTGGTTTTCTTTTTCATTTTGGTGTTTAATTGGAGATTTGTAATTTGTTCTTTTTCTAGGTTTTTTTTTTAGTTGTATGTCCAATTCATTGATCTGCTCTTTCTCTCTTTTATTGATGTACACATTTAGAGATATAAAATTTCCCCTAAGTATTGCTTTGGCTGCATCCCACAAATTTTAGTATTTTATTTCATTGTTGTCATTACATTTAATGAAATTATTTTCTGTAATTTATTGTTTGACCCACTCATTCTTTAGAATTAGATTATATAGCTTCCAATTAATTTTTAATCTGTGCTTCCATTGCCTCTTATTGAATGTAATGTTTATTGTATTATGGTGTGAAAAGGGTGTACTTAATATTTCTGCTTTTCTGCATTTGGTTGTGAGGTTTTTATGCCCTAATAATGGTCACTTTTTGTGATGGTGCCATGTTCAGCTGAAAAAAAAGTATACTCCTTTCTTTTCCCATTCAGTTTTCTTCAGAGGTCTGTCATAACTTTTCTAAAATTCTACTCATCTCCTTAACTTTTCTCATTTATTTTATAGTTAGATTTATGTCGGTCTGAGAGGGATGAGTTGAGGTCCCTCACTAGCACAGTTTTATTGTCTATTTCCTCCTGTAATTCATTTAACTTTTCCTTTAAGAATTTGAATGCTATGCTGTTTGGTGCATACGTGTTTAGTATTGATATTACTTCATTGTCTGTTGTGCCTTTTAGCAAGATGTAGTTTCCTAACTTATTCCTTTTAATTAGGTCTGTTTCTGTTTTTGCTTTGTCTGAGATCGTGATTGCTAACCTTGCCTTTTTTTACTTTAGTTGAAGTCTAATAGATTCTGCTCCAGTTCCTTATTTTAACTCTGTGTGTGTCTCTCAGTATCAAGTGTTTCTTGTAAACACCATATTGTTAGATTCTGGTTTTTAATCGTTCTGCTATCCGCTTCCATTTTATTCACATTTGCAGCTATGATTACTAACTGTACATTTCCTTCCATCATATTTTCTTCTGTGTATCCTTCTCTCTTTCTCTTTTTATCCCATTCTTTCTCAAAATTCTGTTTTTCTTCTGACTACTGCCTTCCCTTTATCTGCTCTCCCTTTTATCATCTCCCTCCCTCTCTTACTGCCTTCCCCTCCTACTTCTCTGTTGGGTAAAATAAATTTCTATACCCAACTGAGTGTATTTATGTATGTGTGTGTGTGTGTATGTGTATGTATATATATATATATATACATATATATATACACATATATGTGTGTGTGTGTGTGTGTATATACATATATA